ATGGAAAAGAAAAAAATATGAGAAAATGGAAATAAAGTGTTTGTAAATGGGGGAGGGAGGGAGGGGGAAGGGAGGAAGGGAGGCAGCATGAAAGCACTGCAGGAGCAACTGCGACAAGTCAGGCAGAACCCAGAAGGGAGCCAGCTGAGCAGAAAGGAGAAGCAGCGAGGTGAGCCCGCTGTGTGGTCTTTGTTCTTGCCGGGTCACCCACAGAATGGAGGCTCTGGGACACAGGTGACACAGGGTATAAATAGGAAAACTCACTCTCCTCACCCCACTACTGCAGCTTCCAGAATAGGAGGAGATCATCCAAAGTGTTCTCCAATACATGGCTATGCAAAGTGTGTCCATGCACCAGCACACACAGACATCGCCTGGGAGTCTGCTCAAGCTGCAGGCTCAGCCTTCCTTTACACAAGATGCCTGGAGCATGGGTACTCACTCACCTTTGAAAAGCACTAATCTATAGCAGTGGCTTTTGAACCTGAGCATGAATCAGAACCACCTGGTGAGCTCACTGAAACACATTGCTGGGCTCCATACCCAGAGTTTCTGATCCTATAGGTCTGGAATGAGGCTCAGAATCTGTATTTCTAACAAATTCCTAGAGGATGCTGTGGCCACCTGAAAAACACTAGGAGAAACCTCTGCTCCACACATCAAATCTACCAGTGGACCAAGCTGCCCAAGGACTCCAGGCACTGTGTACCCAGCATCCCTTTTCATCACCCCATTAGGCTGCACTCAGCCAGCCCAGGCTTCTGACGATCACAATCCCACAGCCCACCCTTCAGGAGAAGGGCTCCAGCTCGTTCCAGCAGCTGTATGTGCAGAAGTAGCAATACCAAACTCAGTGGGACCGTGAGAGGCTTGTACAATGTCTGGCACACAGCAGGGACCTGGTACATGTATCCCCACCTGCCTGCAGCCCCTCGCTTGCACTCCTCTGACACTATCAGGGTCAGGGTGAGCAGCAACTTGGTATCTTGGGCAATGGCCCAAATGGAGATCCTGCTTTGGAAATAATATTTGCTCTGAACTGTTGGGGCTGGTTCCCAAGGTCAGAGGCCACCGGTGACCTCTGTGCAAGGAGTCATCATAAAACTAGGTACCTGGAAAGGCCAGAAGGATGACATAGTTTAGAGAGAGAGAGAGAGAGAGAGAGAGACGCTTGTGACATGAACCACTCTTCCCCTATGGCATCTATGAGCCAGTGAGGCAATGGCACCTTACATCTACATAGGACAGGGCTAATGATGCCACTGGTATCAAGCACTGAAGGGAGAAGCCAGACAGAGACAATGTCTCCCTGCTGTGTTCACACTGGGAACAGGGGTGAGCATTCTACTGTACCTTTACCACACTAAAACAGGCCGAAGTAGAGCCTGGTACACCATTCTAAGGCAGTACATCTGTCTTCCAAGAATCTGATGGAAGAACCTGCTACTCTATAACCTCTGAAGCTTGGTCTCAGCCGCAGGGAGTCTATGGATGGTGACACAAAGAGTTCAGACAGGGGACAGCTTGAATTCTTAGTTTCACTAAGTACTTGCTATGTGACACTGGGCAAGTCATTTAACTAGTCTGGGTCTCTGGATGGCTTATCTGCAAAATGGGACTGTTCCAAGGAAGAAACAAAACCACAGGCACATAACAAATGACTTCTTCCTTCCTTCTTTTTTCCTTGGAATGATTTCAAATCTATCATAAAATTATTCCTCAAAGAACACAGACTCCTTGCAGGGCCACTATATCACAACTCAGGAGACACTATTAATTTAAGGACAAGTGCAGCAAGATACCTCATCCAGGCTCAAGCATGGGAGGAAACCAACAGTTCGTTTTACTCCTACTCACAGAGCCCAGGGCTGGCGGCTGAACTGGGAGGAAGTGGACAGCAGGCAGCAGGCTATAGCATTTGCCCAGAAGTGGGGTCGGGGAGAAGGCATGGGCTGATGTGACCAGGGCTTCCCTATGTGTCTAAGTCTTCAAAGTCTGTTTATTTGTACTGACTTAATGATTGTATGTTAAACTATACTTCTGTTACGGCTCAGTTCAAATGGGTAATGTTCTCAAGAAAGCTTTGCAGATGGTTGAACTTATTTTTGTCTGCCTCTGTTCTGGGTGATGCAAAAAGCTGAACCAGAGCTAGACTTTTTTTTTTTTTTTGGTACCAGGGATTGAACTCGGGTCTTTGCGCTTGCAAGGCAGGCCACCAAACCGCTGAGCTAAATCCCCAGCCAGAGCTGGACTTTTAAGAGTTGTGTTGACTTCATTACACAGGGTGGAGGATGTTTGACAGGTGTGCCTTAGCCTCTAATCATTCAGGATAGCATATAAACTTGCAATAATTTGTCCATGGCCTTAGGAGAAAATCTCTCCAGTGAATTAATTTTTTGCTTCTAGACATGACACAACGCTTTCATCTCATTAACAACAGACACCCTGACTTCTGCTGTGATGCCTGACTTGAAGGTGTGACCTCCTGGAGTCCAGGAACTCCAGGGTTGAGGAAGGTCACTGGCAATGCTGGTGAAATGGGTACATGGCACTGCCACATTCCCGAACTATGCACACCCCATGGCTCTCACCATAAGGCCTGCTGCATCAGAGAAATATGGACCGGAAGCACCTAGTGGTGTATCTAGCATAGATGGCTACTGATGATATTACCTCACCTCTACCACCAGTGCTTTCCAGTCCCAGGGACAGGTTTCCCCTTCAAGCAAAGTCCCTTAGGGTCCTTTTAACCTCATTCATTCAATTCATTCTGTACTTCCTAAGCATTAACTGTAGGCCAAGCCCACATTAGACAACAGGACTTAAGTGGTGACTAAGGAATACAAGTGTCCATTAAAAGATCCTACAGTCATTAGAAACTATCTTTATGAAAAGTCAGACATGGTGGCACACACTGTAATGCCAGCGCTTGGGAGGCAGAGTAGCAGAATCACAAGTCTGAGGCCAGCCTGAACTACATAGCTAGACCCTGTCTCAAAAAACTAAAAACAAACAACAAAAGCCCCCAAACTTTTTATATGTGTGAACATGACAAAATACATTTACCAAAAATACTAAGTTAAAAAATACAAAGAATTTGTATAATGACTCTAATCAGAATTACACTTCTTAAAAATCCACTCAAAACTCACAGAAACAATGTCTTCCTTCCAATTGCCTGATTACTGTGCTAGTTTCCTGATATTCTATAGTAAGTGTGCACTGATTTTATAATTTGAAGAAACCTTTCAGATCAACTTTTAAGAACTGATAAAATACAAAGGTAGCAACCCAATCTTATTATGGTGCTCACAAATACTAATTATGAATGGATATATCATAATTCATAATCTAGGAGAAGCCAATGAACACACTGGTAAATGAATCCCCAGCATATGTCTATCTGATGTGCTGATGAAATCTCCTATGTGCAGCTACACATTAGCATTCTCTTCACTAGCACTGGAGACTTCAGCAAGTGTTTCTTATACATTGTGAACTACATCCTATGGATGAACAGCCAACACTGACAATCCTGCAGGCAGGCTCCTTGTCATTAGTCTTCCCACCCATGACGACCTGCAGCACTGCTTCCAGACTGACCTCAGAATAAGCTGTACTCAGTCACCCAAGGAGCTGCTACTGCTTCGGCACCTCCCACCCCAGAGACTTGACATGGGCCATCTCCTCCACTTGAGCTCAGCTCGCTTCTAGCTGCTCACAGCTCACCGTTGCCACTACCCACCCCTAGAAGCAGCCTGAGTCATCTCTGCCCCCTCCCTCAACACTTAAGTCTCATCACTGAGTCCATTTCCCTGTACTACAGAGGCTGTTTTCTGGCATGTGTTCACAGCCACCTGCCCTGCTCATTTTCTTACTATCTCTGTTTAGCAACTCCTTCTCTCTGTTTCCCCCAGGCCCAGTTCTTAGTCCTGTTCCAACTTCTGCTCCCATACAGTCAGCATGGCCTTTCTAACATGCACATGTGATCAGCCTGTCTCCTCAGGAAGCCTGCAAAAGCCTCACTGGTGACCACACAAAGTCCATGGGGTCTGAGGCCATCCACCTATTCAGCTTCTTGAACTTCACCCCAACATATCATTTAATTGCTGCTACCCGCCTCCATTTTAGTAGTGCTGGGGATTGAACCCAGGGCCTCACGCATTCTGAGCAAGTGCTCTGTCTACCACAGGAACTATACACCAGCTCCTCCCAGCACTTCGGTTTTACACCCCAGTCCCTTGATTCTGCCCCCCGCCCCAGGCCTCACAGCCCTGCCCCATCCAAGCCTCCTGCATCGTCTCTGCTGCTGAAGGGATGCACTGTGCTCTGCATCTAACTTCCTCACTGAACTGCAAGCCACCTGGGGGTAAAGACCGTGTCCTACTCATTTACACCCCGGGACAAAGTAGAGCACTGGGCCTGGCACAGTACACACTTGTTTGTTGTAATGCAAAGTAATAACATTAAAACAGTAATCACTACAAAAGAGGAATGTACCTTGTAGACAGAGAGCAGCTAATTCCACAGCTGTTTCATAGGGGCATTTCAATCTAAAAAAAAGAAAAGAAAGTAATTTCAAATATGAAATTTTATACTTGTAAACATACAAAATATCAATAAAATCATTCTTCAAAAGACAGTGATATCTAAGCAATGATTTTTGTTCTTAGTTTATTTTTTTGCTGTCCACATTAAAGAATGCAAAGAAACTGGTGCATTAAGTTTCCCCAAATCAGTTCTCATCATATGGCAAAATAATCCAATCTAGGTATGCTTTCTATTAACCTTGCAGGTGACTTTGCTAAATTTGGCAAGAATGGGAAAGTTTGGAAAACAGAATGAAAAGGATCCCTTTGCATTATTATTTTAAAATTATTTTATCTTGACCTAGTACATGTGCTTTTCAAGCTGCCTCCAGTCTTTCTTAAAACAAGGTATTAGTGTTAAAAATAAAACACACCATATCTAATGTTGCCAGGGCAGTTGGATGTACTCAGCATTCTACTAAGTATAACTGAGGCACAGGTATAGAAGTGTGTTACTGCAAACTCATGATCTCATTCACACTTACATTTCAAAGTTAGTTAGAAAAATAATAATGACATACATTGGTATAGCACTTCATAGTTTTTATAAGACTTTTCATATATGTATCATGCAATTTGGTTAATGCATCCAGTCTGTAAACCCCTGGGATGGATAATGACCACTGTCTCCCTTCTACCACTTTAGAGATGAGGGAGTGTCAAGGTTGTTCCAATGGTCATCCAACTGACAGCAAGCCGTGCTGGGACTAGGACACCATTCTGCTTTAATGTACAGTAAACCAACTAGAAGTACATGCAAACTGCAAAGTACTGTACAAATGCAAGGTGTTGCCATTAATATTTTTCTAAACTGAAGACAATTTCTACAGTTACGAGGCCTTTACATGAGGAGCACAGTATGGAGAGAAAGATAAAAAATACGCGCACACTCATATACACACGCCAACCAAAGATCTGTATTGCATGGCTGAATAAGGCAAATGTATACACTGTACAATCTCCTTGTTCTACTGAGTATATGCTACTGAAAGTTTTATAGCATCTTTTCTATTGAGAGTTTGCAAATTCAGAAATTACATTTTAAAATTTCTTTCAGATTCAAAATCAGAATGTATTCTTGTTAGTAACATCAGATATATTACTTCTTAGACTTGAAGTAGCCTTAGCTTTTTATATAATAGAAAATAATCGATACCTAAGCTGAAAAATGACATAACTATTAAAGCTATGACTCCTGAAATCTTATCTTAAAAATAAATTACTATTACATGCGAAATCAACCATTTCAGTGCTAATGCTTCTCATGCTCAATAATCTTTGTGAGTAGCCAGAAGCCTAGTATTTAAATAAAAAACATTTTGAAAAGGGGAAAAAGGAAATGAGATGAGATGTCTAAACTTCCTTCTATCCGAATCAGAACTTTACTTTAATGTGGATGGTGATGAATGAGACTTTTTGACTGTCCAAATACTTGTACGTGTATACATACTAATAACGTATCTTGCTTGCAAATACGACAAAAGCCATTATGAATGGGGCAGTGATGTGATCAGGGAGAGAATTATTCCCAAATACACATCACTTAAGATATTAAACACTTGGGCCGGGGATTTAGCTCAGCGGTTCGGTGGCCTGCCTTGCAAGCGCAAGGACCCGAGTTCAATCCCCGGTACCAAAAAAAAAAAAAAAAAGATATTAAATGCTCTTGGAAATGCTTCAAGCCATATAATTTTCATTTAAGACAGGATGATAATGACAGTGATACAAATATTAGACTCACTTTACAATGCCTGGTGCACTTTTTTGAATTTTGAAAAGGGAACAAGGGTAAAGAGTTAAAACAATGAATTATTTTGAAATATACTATGATACATCCTGGGTGAAGATTTAGAATAAAAACATACTTACTTTCCAGAAAGAATGTCATGCCTGAGTTGTAAAACAAACAGGTACCTGACAAACATATACAAAAGTCAACAGAGAGTAAACCTTTCCTGGCCACCTCCAATCCCCAACATCCCACCCAAATTCCCACCTCACTCACAGCCTAGGATTCTGCACCATCAAAAGGGAGGCCAAAGCAAATGAGAACCTGAGTGGAAGGATCTCATGGGCCTCCAGGAAGGCATCCTAGAACCCCAGTAGGCAGGTGAGGGCATGCTGGGAGTTTGCAAAATATTTGCAGGATGGAACATGGAACACTGAGACATCCAATGACAACTTCCACAACCCTTTTGGTGCTCAAGAAGTGAGCCCAATGGGTTCACAGAACTCAGCACACAGGCATGCAATGTGTCTAATAAAACCAGCAGTGTGGAGCCACTGGGTACGGCCCTCAGACAGCTCTAGCAGGCAGATTCCAGAACCACAAGTTTGCAGCTGACTGGAGTCTGCTAGTAACAGCTTGTGGCTTTTCCTCCTGATGCAGCCTAACTACAGACTCTTAACAAAACAGGTACACAGACAGTACACACACACACACACACACGAAAAATCCTAGAATAGGACTGCAACTGGGGCAACAAAAAATGGGGAAGACAGCAAATAACACAAATGGGACTTAGGGAGAAATAAATGTCTTAGTTTAAATGGTTTTGCTTTTTATTTTAAACCAGGAGAATGTGGGCATCAGTACCACTTACAATGCTTTGTAAAAACCAAAGCCGCCCACGCTCTACTCCATACCTACAGAGTCAGAATCCTACACGCAAGAGTGGTCCCCAGGAATCTGATTTGTTCAAAAGCTTCCTGGGTGTTTCTGATTCACACAACTTGGTTTAAAAACCACTGGTTTTGGTGACAGAAGCAGCATATTTCACAAAAAGCTCTGAAGAGGAACACTAGAGTAATTTAATTTGTTTGAACCTTAGAAATAATGCAGGCAATTGCTTTCTGTAGGCCAGATAGAGGAGAATTTGGGTGACCCAGAAATCAAGGGTGGTGCTGGTGAAGGTTCTAGTACATTCCAGAATGTCCTGGCTACCCCACAGGTGCTTAACTTCACTTCTGAAATTCAGAATACTGGCTTGTATATACATATCAAGGGAAACACAGTACCAACACGGCCAGAACTTCTGATGCTTGTGGGAAAACCTAGCTATAAAAGCCCTGTAGGGCCAGGTATGGTGATGCAGGCTGAGGCAGGATTGTTGTGAGTTTGAGGCCAGCCTGGGCTACATAGTGAGTTCAAAGCCAACCTAAAACACATAGCCAGACCTTGTCACCAACAAACAAACAAAAGCAACGTAAGTCCCCTTTAGGCCCTTCCCGTAAAGTAATGGTGATGACTGGTCAGTCTTTAAAGTGTTACTGAGGTTATCATCTTCAAACTAGCGGCTACCACTGCAGACTACCTAACTATGTACGTGTCACCATCACAACCCATCACACACATACAGTGACGAGGCTCTGGGGGATATCAACAGCAGGAAAAGGCTAGGTAAAGCATTTCACTGATGGAAAGGTAACTGGAGGGAAAGTACATATGCAAAATTTGACACTCTCTGAAGTTCAAGTGATAAAGAAACAGGCAGAGCCAGGTGTGGTGGTGCATGCCTGTAATCCCAGCACTCGGGAGGCTGAGGCAGGAGGATCACTGTGAATTCAAAACCAATCTGGGATACTTAGTGAGTTCCAGGTCAGTCTCAACTACATAGTGAGACCCTGTCTCAAAAAAAACCGAAGGCAGGCACAACAAAGATAACTTGAAAGGATTTAGACCACTTTGTTGTAACTAGCACAGTTTGTTTAAAGAGATGATATTTTCTACTATAACAATCAAAGGGATGTTTTACAGCTCCTCAAAAAATAAGATGGCAATTATGGATTGAAAAAATATTCTCCCAAAATCTATTTTCCCTTTTCGTAGCTGAGACAAAAATATAATGCCACAGATCAAAATACCAAGATCCAAGGAAATAGAAATGGGACAAGAAAATAAATATAATGCTTACTAAGAATAATATTAAATTAAGCAAAGTTATGGATTATTCAATAGAATATAGAAGCCCAGGAAAAATGCTAATAACTCTTGCTCAGAAATACAGACAGAGAACAGAAGGGAGGCAAACCTACAACTTACAAGACACACAAATCTAGGTAAGGCAAGTGCTACTGGGCAGGATCGTCCCCATTATGTCCTACCTTGTAAACTCTTCTCGAAGGTTGTTTGGTTCTGAAGAATAGTATTTAACTCGAAAGTGCAAAGCATATGCAGGTCCAACTAAACATTTGTAGACAGAAGGTTGAAGATGTTTTTCCCCCAATTTTGAAGATCACAAAATGGACGAAAGGAAAAACACATTAAATCTATAGCACATGTACCACTCCATGTGGAGGGCACAACTAGGCATGCAAAGGTAATACTGCAATGGACTTTTATTTTGACTATGGAGATTTAACTTGTAACCACATTTGAGCAGAAAATATAAGACTCTGGATAAATGACTAAGAGCTGGCTCTTTACTTTTAATGCCAAGATAGTCCAAGTGGATATCCACGTTTTACAAAGTACAAAGTGGGCTAAACAAAAGGAACACTCAAATAGCAAAGCATGTTGTCATCTGAGAAATAAAGTAAGGATACCTTACAGTATCTTTAAGAAACTTGATTTTTTAAATGACGCAAACATAAACAACATCAGAGAAATGTTGTTACCCCACCTGCAAAGGAATAAGCTGAGCTACACTACCAAGGAGACCTCCCACTCTCCCAGTCACTGAGTCTACTTTGTAATTCATTAGGAAGAGAATACAGTAGGTGTAAAGTCATGTTTCTGAATAGTACATTAGTCATTTCTCATTGGCAGATGTGTCTAATTTCAAAGGAGAGTACAGGTGGGTTTTTAGTATCTACTAAAAACTGTTATTCAAATTTTAAACTTTAACTTTGGCCAGCTCTAATAAAAATTATCTATTTAAAATTGGATTTCTTTAAAAGTGCTTTCAATTTCCAATGAAAACACAAACCCTCAAAACTTGGGCACAGGAATTTACTGGCAGTTAAAAGAAATAAAAGAGGAGACTAAATTCTGTTCACTTACTTTTCATCTGCTTTTTGATGGGTTTAGAATGATCCAGCCAGTGCTGAAAGAAAGAGAACATTACTTTAGGAATCATTCAACAGCAAGATTTTAGTCCCTCAGAGTTACCTTCCTCTATAAACATGAGTAATTCTATCCACAAAAACCCAGAAGTGGATCAGATTATGAGTACTTCACTGCAAAATACTTAGTATGATGTTCACAATTCTGTGCTTGTGCACCAAAGTGCATTTTTATGGGAAGAGGGCACCACATTTTACCTAAGTTTTAAAAAGTAGTACCTGAAAGGACCTAAAACCCCTTAATGAATTCAACTGTAAAGCCCCTGTGCGCAGTGGAACAACTCCATTGCCTTTTCCTTCAGACTTGCTCATGTTATCGATCTTCTCTAACATTTCCTATCCTCTGTTAATGTAGCAAAAAAGTACAAGCTACAATGCTAGAATCTCTCTTCATACCTCAGGCTTGAATTTGTCAGCCTAAACTCTGAAATGACAGAACCAAAGTTCACTGCCCCATTATTCTTTTGCTAGGAAAATAACACTGTAGAAGGAAAGACAGGCAGGCATTTGCCTAAGATAATTTTACTGTCAATGAAGGTACAGTATCTTAACTACCTCAAAATTTTACCATAACTAGGGCCAGGCAGGGATTTAGTTCAGTGGTGCTGCACTTGCCTCTCAAGTGCAAGGTCCTGAGTTCGATCCCTGGTACAGCAAAACAAAACAAAACAGAAAAAAAAAATGACCATAACTACTTCAGTTATCTCTTTAGGAGCTCACAAGCCATTCCCTTACTTAAGGGTATTTCATAATAGCAAAGATGATACCACAGTCTTGAAGGAGGCTCAGGAGCCTAACTTCCACGGATAGCTACATGAGGGGGTTATGTCCAGATAAAGCCATTGTAAAGTGAAAATACTGTAAAGCGAAAAAGGCATTCAATGTTTACTGCACACCATAGCTTAGCACCATTGAGTACTGACTGTGTGGTTGCCTGGGAGTTGCAGCTTACTGCCACTGCCCAGGATCTGGAGAACTTGAGTGTTCTATCAAGTAACATAAGCCCAGGGAAAGATCAAAATTCAAAATTTGAAGTACAGTTTCTCCCTAATGCCTATCACTCCTGTATCAGCATTAAGTTGAACCACTGTCAGTCAGAGCCTGTCTATTCTCTGAGCTCCTTTGAAGATAAGCCCCTCAGGATCAGGGACCAATCACTGAATCATTTCTGTGCTTCCTTGACAGGTACTAGGCACAGTACTCAGCAGACCCTTATTAGAATGAGAAGTGAACAAATGAAATCATGAATCATTTTTTTTAAATGAGGCAAGTTAGGGATATACTCTCTAACACTGAATAAACTCAGTGCACACTGGAACTTCAATGTTAGTAAAACGGCTGGAATGACACAGCCAGAGTAGGTTTCTCACCAGCTATTCAGAGCCAGAGGCCGCTCTGCTGATTGCCAGGGACTTTCAGAAGCAATCTACACTCTGCACATCCTAATAATAAGAAAGGGTGGGGCTAAATTAGTATTGTGTACTCCACACCTAACCCAAGCATACATTGTGACTGAGTGGGAGGAGAGGGGTGAGGAAACACAAAAGCATGTAACCAATGAATTATATTACAATAAGCTTATGAGCAGGGTGAGGGGAGAACGTGGGCTTTTGTCATCTCCACTGCCAGGTAGGCAAGCGTGTAATAAAAGATCACCACAGCAGGATGCATATCTCACAGGCACATGTACAGGATGCTTTTCCTTATTATTAATAGCTCTTAAATGGAAATGACCTACATGTCCATCAACAAAGACAGATTAAAATATGGCTCATCCATAAAATGAAATACTATTTAAAACTGATGTAGGTCTATCTTTACAGATGTGGCAAGAGGTCTACAAACACAATGGCAGATAATCAGGATACCATTTATATAAAATTATTATTTTCTATTAAGAGATGTCCAGAAAGATTTGCAGAGGTTATTTTTGGGTAGTAGGACTATTTACTTTAAAAAATTTTTTTCTGCATAATTTTTTTTTATTTTCATGAGGATATTATTTGCAGGGAGGTGGGCTAGGTTGTCATTTCAACATTTGTTGTCATTTGCCTACCAGGCAGTTTCTGATTATGAGTTTCTGTTATGGTAATTAGGTATCACTACCACTCTCAGTTGAAAACCCCAATCTCACAGCCCTGGGAGTACAGCTACAGACTGGATATGAGCATATTCACTCTCCTGCCAACTACCACACTAACGGCTATGTCTAAACCTGTTCTTAAAGGAATTCACTCTTACCCTGCAAAGAAAGTTCTCCCTTGAAACTACTAGTCTACGCAGCCCAAGAATATCACAGTTTAAAGGTGCCTGTCCTCTTTCTTTCCTTTCTCAAGTCTCTTTACCATAATTCAGAATAGATCAAGTTTTCAGCGCACCCTTCTTCTCTCTTTGCTATCAAACTCTAATCTCCGTCCAAGTCCAGTTTGTGTGATTTCCTTCCCCAAGATTTTAACCCTGGCTGTGTATTACAATTATTTGAAAAACTTTAAAGAAGTCAATATCCAGGTCTTGCCCAAGACTCATTAACCAAAGGCTCACAGCATCAATGTCTTATAAATGCTCCCAGGTATGTCCTTTAAATATTTAGTTCTGAAGTTTTCTGCATCCTCTCCTATTCAGGAAGATGTCTTGATAATCTTGAGTCATCCACAACCTATCTAAAAATGGCTATTTGAATTCTCTACAATCTCAAGCACCCTCAGTTTTTACGGGCTAGTCAGCTCCAATGGTAAAAGGGCAAGTGTCTGCGGTGGAGGTTAACACACAGGTAGACCAAGGCCAAATGCCTGGGTCAGATACTCCCAAGGAACTGCTTTGCCCTCTGGCTACATCACTAATGGAGCTCCCTTACCCCATTTCAGGGCTATGACCCATCCTTCCTGCCCAAAGCAAGGCCTGCCAGAATGGAGGCCTACGAAAAGCTTGGGGTTCACTAAACTGAGAAAGGAATCAAAAACAGTTTCATTATTTTGAAAGCTCCTTGACCCCTTGAGTTTTCAGATCAGGTTTACATCAGAGGTGCTAAGAAACCTAGTCACCATCTGAAAATGAGAAAAGATAAAAATCATCTTGGATCCAACCAGCTCAAAAGGACTGACTTTCTTCATAGCTTCAGGAGCTTGCCAGGTTCTGATCACTCATATTTTATCTCATAAGACTCCCCATGACTTGAATACTGGAGCAAAGAGAGGCCAACATGGCATTTAGTAAATTCTATCCTATGCATGGCCAGAGGACTGTATTTAGCACCTATTTGGGATGTTCACCTGTGTCCAGGCTAAATATGGCAAGGCTTCCTATCCATAAAGGCCAAGGTAATTGGCTCTAGATCTCCCAGAGAAACTAGTCAATGCAGACAGAGACACATTTCTGAGTTCAAATGGCAAGAAATTTAATTCAAACACTAATGGGAGTTAGCAAGGTGGTTCTGATCTGAATTTGTCATTTAAGTCCACCTGGCAAAGCCCTTTCCATAAATCAAGAAGTGTGAGATGATCCTGGCAAAGCCCATCTGTTCTAGTAGTGCATCAATTCTGGAAACATGACACACACTCAGTCTGACTGGAGGATTTCATAGGCTAAAATCTTCATGGTAGAATTGGAATAGCAATGCTCAAGAGAAGCTCGGGGGTTAAAGAACATCCAAAATTTCTTTGTCTGAACATCCCCAGAGCCCTTGCCATTAAGCCTGAGTGATGGGAGTCATAATGGGATCTCTAGTACCTACAGATTTCCTTGGCTTATAAAGAATATCAAGCTTGTGTTTAAATTAGAGCTGGAAGGAATCTGAAGAGGTAATCGTTTCCAAAGGATGAACAGAGATGCAAAGAAGGAAAGGAAGAAGCACTCTGAGAGCTGCCGTGTCACATCCATCACCTAGCTCAGGCCTCAAAGCAGGTGCAAGGTGGGCCAGTTGGTAGATGATGTGGGGGATATGGCCCTAGTGAAGGAAGGCAGGATTCAAGCTCACACTGGCACCCACAACCATTACTCAAGGTCCTCAGACCACGAACCAGCTTGAAGGGCCTTCTCCACTATAGTAGGGATCACTCCTCTTCTCCATCAGGATGAGGCTACTGGAGGTTTCCTTGGGTCTTTGTCTAAATAGTCAGAGACCCATTCACCCACTTTCCATCCAGGACTGATATTTGTACCTGGGCAGGAAAATCCTCACCAGCTTCTCATAGTCAGCTTTCAGAGAAGCTGCCAGAGGCTACAGCTCTTCATCAGCCCATCTGATTATTCTCTATGCTACCATGAAGGTGGCACAGAATTTAAGTCTCAGCTCTGCTACTCACTGGCATGAGCAAGGCCCCTGTCTCTGAGCCTTAGTTTCCTCCCCTATGAACTAAGGTAGCCCCTAACAGCACTATTTGAAGGTTCAAACAAATGTCCACAGAAGCCATACCGAAACGTTCAAGTGGCCGGAAGCAAGAGGTTTCATCTGATTTTCTGCAACAATAACAAAGATTCTACTGGTAGTGCTTACACTTTCCTAGTTCTCCTTTTTCTGAAGTGCTGGGAATGGAAACCAGCTCTCTGAACGTGCCAGGCAAATGCTCTACCCAAGCTACACTCCCTAGTCTTGCTCCTTTGTTCTCATGATCACATCTGAAATGGCACATGTGTCCAGCAGTGTGTGCACAAGTGGCAAACAGGATGACCTTCCAAGCAACTGGCAGAGTGAAGCCAGGGGAGCCCTATCGCATCCAGCAACCATTATATCTATGTGTTAACCTCACTACACAGTCCTGGGTGTGAAATGTGGCCCCTCTCTGCTGCAAAGACCAGAGGAAAAACGTAAGACAAGTCTTGAGACAAAGGCCTAAATCATCTTTTCTGTATTTCTTTGCTGCAAAATGTACCATCATAAAAAGCTCCCTATTGGTGTTGGGTAAGGGCTTAGGGAAGGGACATTTGGTGGCCATATCTGTCATCCATAACATCTGCTCCCTAGAAGGGGAGAGAGCCTGCTCCT